ATTTTGGCACGCCAGCTGTGGTGAAACTACAAATCCCATCATGCCTCGGCCTCTGGGAGTCATAACCATGGCATGTCAGAGCCTTGCAGTGCCTCCTGGGACTTGTAGTTCCACAACCCAGGTTGCCGGCCCCGTGTATAAGATGTTCTTTGTGATCTTTGGCTGAGGTAACCGGCGTCGTGAAGAACTACAGGTGCCAGCATGCCGTATGATGTAAGCTGTAAGATTCACAGCTCGCTCACAGGTTGCGTCTCCCCCGTGTATGACCTCAACCCTCCTGGGAATTATTTGTCCTACTCAACTCCCCCGGGGGGGTGATGATGTCACAGCTGGCTGTTAGGGTAACACCTCGCCCTGTTCATACCGTGCAAGTAAAGGTTTCCCATTGCTCCCCAGTCCTCTGTAGTGGATCAGTCTGCCAAGTAGGAGGCTCGTCCCCCCCCACCCCGGACCACATCCACAGAAAAACAGCCGGAGGCACTACGGGAAGTCCAACGCTTGTCAAACTTTCTTATTACGGAAACAATCAGCACGAGGCCCCACCTGGGACCGCCTCCCTCTGACGCGTTTCACCCACCACTGGCAGACCCTCTGCCATTAAGCCCAGCGATGAGTAAAACGCGTCAGTAGAGGAGGTCCCAGACGGTGTCTTCGTGCAGATTGTCCTGGAATAATAAAGTTTTATGAGCATCAATTTTTTTTTCTCCCTCTGGATCTGTCCAAACCGTGCTTCAAGACTTCAACGTATTTCGAACATTTATATCAAATATATATTATAGTATTCCACGCAAATCAAAATACATTTATAAATAAAGACGTATCCGAGCCGCTGTATAGATATGCCGTGGATAGGAAGAGATCAATATGACACAGAACTAGAACAGCTGATAATAAAAAGTGAAGATATGTAAGATAAGCATCAATAAATACAATACAGAAGTTTAAAAAAAAACTGACAAAAACTTTATTAATCAATAAATAAATCAACAAATATGACACATTTTATTTATATAACAAGAAGCGGAAAAAAATATGATACAGAAATAGAAACAACTGACAATATGTAAGATAAGAATCGATAAATACGATTACAGTTTATTATTTATATAAAGAGATAAATATGATACAGAAGTTTAAAAAAAAAAACTGACAATAAAAACTTTATTAATCAATAAATAAATCAATAAATAAATCAACAAATATGACACATTTTATTTATATAACAAGAAGAGATAAATATGATCCAGAACTAAAAACAACTGAGGATATGTCAGATAAGAATCAAAACTATGATACAGAAGTAAAAACAACAAAAAACAGACAATACAACTTTATTAATCAATTAATAAATCAACAAATATAATATAGTTTATTTATATAACAAGAAGAGATCAATATGATACAGAACTATCACTAAGAAAAAAAAAACTAATAATAAAAAGCTAAGATATGTAAGAAGTGAATCAATAAATCTGATACATTTTATCATTTATTTTAAATATAAAGAGATAAATATAATATAGCAATAAAAAAAATGACAATAAAAACTTCAGATATGTAAGATAAGAATCAATAAATATGATTACAGTTTATCATTTATATATATAGAGATAAATATGATGCAGAAGTTAAAAAAAACCTGACAATAAAAACTTTATTAATCAATGAATAAATCCACAAATATGATACATTTTATTTATATAACATGAAGAGATCAATATTATACAAAACTATCACTAAGTAAAATAAACTAACAATAAAAACTTACGTATCAATAAATATGATAGCTTATCGTTTTTAAAATATGAATAGATACAAAAAGATACATTTGATCATTTATATAATATAAAAAGATAAATAT